ATCATGACCTGTCCCAGTTTCCTCCATGCCTCACCTCCTCACTCTGCTTTGCTCCTCATTGGCCTACTTATGTTCCTTAAAAACCACTGTCCTGCCACTGTTCCAAGGCCTTTGTACCAGCTCTTCCTGCTGTTGGAGACCCTTTCCCTAGAGATCTGCAAGGCCCACTCCCTTACCTCACTTAATCATTATATTCACATTGACTTTCCCTGAATACCCCATATGAAATTGAACCTCTGTTTTTAATCACTAAATTTGTTCAGATGTTTGTCACCTCTCTATTTACAGATTACCAGAATACAACCATTCATTTATTTTCTCATGGTTCATATAGATTCTGTTCTCCAGGCTCTGTAAAAGAATACACTTCCAGAATCATTCAAATTGTTGTCAAGATTCATTTCTTTCTTATGATGAAATGGAATCTCTGATTTTCCATTGTGACCAGACACCCTTACCTACTTTATTTCTCTCCATTGTCCTTTCTGCTCACTGACTTAGTATATTTAACTAATTATTAGGCTATTTTCTGTCTCTTGCCTCTACAATGTGTGTTGAAATCAGGGTCTTTGGTCTGTGCTGCTAGATTGTTCATGTTTGAAATGGGTATAGTCCTTAAAAAACAATCCTCACTGAATGAGGATTGAATAAGTATGCGAATGAACAAGTGAATGAATGAATGGCTTAGGGTTCTTACCTCAAAGAATTATAATGTGGTGGAGACAGTCAAAAATGAGTAGGTACGTAAGATCTTATTTATATCTTGTATGGGAGAGTAATGACTTTGAGCTGGACTCTAGAGCGTGCTGGTCAAGATCCAAATCCCGGACACAACTTACTGGTTGTGTCCTCCAGCATTTATTATATAAGCTCTCCAGGCCTCATTTTCCTTACCTGTAAAATTGGAATAATAACATCACTCTATAGGATTACTGAGAATGAAGCAGAACAATCCATATAAAGCATTTAGCATAGTGCCTGCCATATAATAAATTCTCAGTGCTTGTTAACTGCTGTTATTATTGGTTCTTTTGCCAGAATCAAGTAGATCCTGGTTTGCCGTTACTAAGACTTTCCTTTTCGGAAGCAAAGATGGGGATGGCCCCCAAACAGAATCTGTCCCTGGGAACAGAGACTGTCCATGGGAACAAGTTTATCTTAGGGTTTATTTGAACCACAAATGCCCCTGGTTCTCTCCCTTTCCACCATATATTAAACATTTCATTTGCCCAGATGGGCTGCAAAAAATACAAATATCTTCTCTGAAAAATGGCTCTTTTCCTGTTTAAATATCAGCAGATAATTAAATATTATATTGGCCTTTTCTTTTTCTAGTAATTCTTAGGCTCCAGTAAATAATTAATTATGGCTGTACTTTAGGAGACATTTGTAAATCTTTCTTTTGCTTTGTGATAACAGAGAAAACCGTGTCAAAAGTCATCTGACAATTTGTATTTTGATTTAAGTTTTATAAGTTGCCATTTAAAGAAGGGCAATTGCTCAGTGGTAAGCCTTCTTAAGAAGTTAGGGCTTTGATCTTAAATCCTGAGGAGGCTTTGCACAAATTGGAGATGAATTGTTGACAGGTTTGTCCTTAGCTTTTCTACTGCCATTAATTAAACACACACACATACAACCCTTTGTTTACTGTGCCGGAGTAAAAGAATTGAACTTGACTTTGATTTTTGATGGGAAGGTATGAGCAAGCTCAGAGAAACATCAAAAAAACATTTTTAATCTAGCAAAACTTACTCTCAGACGAACATTAAAGAGTTCTTGATTCCAAAGCTAGTCTAGTTTCTTTTCTTACAGCATTAATTCCTTTAATGGTAAGAAAGGTGCAGGGCAAGCAATAAACCCTGCCATTGCATTTATCTTATCATACTCCTAGAAGTCTCCCCTCTACCAATGCAGGTACTTTTGCATTTTCATACTGTTGATACCTTCAAGAGCTCCATTTTAAAAATCTTAAAACTTTTTTCATCCTAACTTTAGACTTTTTTGAATAATCACAGCTAAAGCATAACTGAATTTTTTGGCAGTATTGGAGTTTGAACTCAGGGGTTCTGGAACTCCTCTGGACCACTCATCTGCTCATACCAAAGATCCTTCCTATGCATGTTGGGTGCAGCCTTGCTTTAAGCACCAAAGAATAGTGAGCAAAAATGTAGATTCTGTTCTCGTGAACAACTAGCACAATAATGAAGTTAATTTTATAGTATATTAGATAATGTTGAAACCTATAGAGAAAAATAAGATAGTGAAGGGAATGGTGTTAGAATTTATTCAGATATTAAATAGGATGGTCCAGGAAGGTCTTACTGAAAAGAAGTATTTGAACAAAGACCTGAGGGCTGAGAGAGCCAGCCATTGGCACAGATGTGGAAGAGGCAGAAGCAAGTGCAGACTTTGAAGTGGGTGGACCTGGTGTGTGGTTTGACAAGGGGGTGGGCAGTGGGCTAGAAGGGAGTGAGCAGGGGTAATTGTGAGAGGTATGGGTGGAGTTACTGAGCAGAACACTTGGCGTGTGAGAGGGGTAAGACCTTGGTCTTTTCTTAGATGGAATTCATAGGAGGGTTGTGAGTGGAGCAGTGACATGATCTGGTTTATGTTGAACGGGATGGCTGTGACTGCTGGGCAGAAAGACTAGACTGGTTAAGTGGCTGCTGCACTGACCTAACCCAAAGATGATGATAGTTTGAGCCAGAGTGGAAACAAAAGAAGTGATGGAAGTGTTTTGAGTCAGGCATGTTGTAAATGCAGGAGCCAAAGGGTTTTCTGATGGGGCAGGTGGCGAAGAGCCAAAGATGCCTGCAAGATTTGAGTATGAGTAACAAGACCATGTGGTCTGCCACCCAGGCCCTATTATTGATGACTTTACAGGTCTCCTAGTCACTATCAAACCATCACTCTGGTATTCAGGAGAAATACCTGTGTGACCTTGTGAGCCATTTCCAATGGTACCCAGTTAATTAATGAGCAGGAGCTTTGCTTAGTTTTCTTGATACCATCTGTTGGACACTGTGGTATCACATTCTGCTCCAAGAACTGTGATAGGTATTGGTGCCATCCATCCTCTTCCTCAGCTCTGAAAAGTGTGGAAAAAGAGTAGGAATGTGTGAGAAGCTAAAGTAGAGACAAAGACTTGGAGGACCTAGAAATTTAGTATGAATCTGTTTGAAAAGAAAAAGATCAGGAACAGTAAGATGTGTAACTTCCCTTTGAAAGTATTTTCCTCTTTTATTTCTATTTTGTTTTATTTTATTCTATTTATTTTATTTCCAGTTGGAAAATAAAAGATATTTCCAGAATAATCAGAGAGAGAGAGAGAGAATTAATGGACTAATTAATGTGACAAAAGCAAAGATTAAGTCCCACAATTTAGTCACTGTGGGCTGGCAGGAGAAGGATGTATGGCTCACTGTAGTCAGATGAGCTACAGTGACTTTCCAGGAGTCCCCATCTCTTTGCACTCAACCCCAATCTTTCCTACTTCAGTAAACCACAAAACCTGTTGTGAGAGAGCATGAGGTCACAGTTTACTAGGATGGTGGTCAAGGGTAGAGCCAAAACATCTCAATCTGTTTATTTCCTAGAATCTCATTTCCCATCTCTGCTTGGCTCACATGGGGTTGAGAAAATTTTAATCCAACTAAATTCATATCTCAGGAAGAGCAAAGGGTAGCCCCGGGAGTCCTCTAATAGCAGGTGCAGCCAGAATGAAGAGGAACAGGGAGAGTGGAGGCCAGTGGAAAATTTCTTTGCAAATCCAAGAAACCCATAAGGCTGATGAGCTTGGGAAAGGGGGGTGGTAGTTAGTGCCTAAGGGCACAAACTGGAACCTACCAGGATGGGATGATGGAACACCAGATGGACTGGCATTCGGTCAAACCAGATGTGGGCTTTTATTTTTAAAAGGATTTGCAAATTCTGAGAACAAGGAACCGTAAGGGTGCTGGGTCCTTTAATCCCATTATAGAAGACAAAAGTGTGCTCTTTAAAAATGTAAACCCACCAATTATAGAATTTACGTTATCAAAGCCTTGGGATAGACATCTAACTTTTGAAACTCAAGGGACTCTGAATTCTTTCTTGTTGGGAGGAGAGTCTGCAGAAATAGTTCAGGGATTATAAATTAATGGAAAGATTCCTTAAAAATGGAATGTGAATTTACTAAATGTACATTCTGAACCAAATGAAACGTAATGCATTTGCACAAAATGGGCTTGCTTGCTCACATGTAGAGTTGGAAGAACAGCTAATAGTACACTCAGTGACTGCTCAATTTACTTAGTAAAATTTGAGTGTGTAGCAAGTAAAAATTTTAAATCTAAGTACTTAATGCTTTCCAAAAAATCCAACCCCTGGGCCGCCCTTCCCCAGGTGCTATGTATAGACTGACCTGGCTCAGTATTACCCACATCTGCTCTCCTGGAGGCCACAGCACAACATCCTGTTTTCAGCCTATGTCTCTATCCCAGTTTTTGTTTGAGGGACCAGAGTTATTTCCAGAATTTTTCTCCAACCGGACTCACCCCTAAGACGACCAGACTCCTAAGTGTAGCATGGAGGCATGTGTGCCCATGTGCAGCCCAAGTCAAAAGCTGTGCCTACGGAGCCATGGCTCCCTCCTGTAGACACAGCAGAGGGCAGGAGTATAGGCTTGTATGCAGCAGAGTTCAGGAGGAATCTGTCTTCTTTGTTTCATGTAATATTTGATCCTCCTGCTAAGACCAAAGATCTAATATAATTAAAAAATTAAAAGAAATGTTAAATATTAGAGAAAGTTTTAAGTAGTGTTGTTAAATCACTTTTGTTTGTATTGTACAGATGTACCCATTAAGTAACTGTCAGTAATACTGCATGGTTTTCTATGCTCTTTCATAAATATTTCCTTCCCCAACTACTCCTGGAAAGTGCAACTGTTATTTTGTGGTTACGTTGAATATAGTAGTCCAACACCACTGACAATTTTTGCTTGCTTGTTTTTCTTTCTAAAGGTATGGAAACTTGACAGGACCAAACTGTGAAGAAGATGGAGGCCAGACTTCAGCAGAGTCCAAGATGGTAATCAGGAAGTGAGTGTCTTCTCTCTCTGCCCTCCCAGCTCCCAGTCTTAAAAGAATGTAGTTCAGTAGAGGTTCTTATTTCCTTGGAATGCTGGGATGATTTTTTCCTTAATGCATATGTGTGTGAGTGTGTGTGTGTGTGACTTTTTGGTGGGACTGAGGTTTGAACTCAGGGCTTCATGCTTGCAAAGTCAAAGCCAGGCACTCTACTATTTGAGCCACTCCTCCAGTTCATTTTGCTCTGGTTATTTTGGAAATGGGCTCTCTCAAACAATTTGCCCAGGCTCACCTTGAACCATGATCCTCCTAATCTCAGCCCAGCCTCCCAAGTAGCTAGGATTACAGGCATGAGTCACCAGTGCCTGGCAGTATACACTTATTTTTTGGTTGTCTAACAATATTCATTTATTTATCCAATAAAAATATATTGAGCACCTGTTTGCCAGGCACTGTTCTAAGGGATACTAAATAAACAAGTGAACAATCAAAAATAAAAATCTTACCTCTTATGAAGTTGTGTTTTAACAGAAAGAACAAAGAATAAACACAAAAAACTGAAGCAGAATGAAGCAAGTATGGGAGCTAATCCTGATAGACAGCTTGGTTTCACCTAGGAGGCTAAGAGGGGCTCTCTGATCTGGTGACACTGAATGAGGTGCCCACGAAGCCTTTGAATATCCAGGCAGAGACTATGAAAGTTGCTCTGAGGCAGGAACATTGCTAAAGAAGCAGCAGGGAAGCAGAGAGTGAGCAGCAGGTGCAAGGGGATAAGATGGGTAAGGTGCTAAGGATCATGTGAGGAAGTGAAGAACTTGGGGAAGGACCTTGAATTTGATTCTGAGGAAGATAAGCACTTAGAAGATTTTGAGAACCATTCTGTGACCTAAACTTACACTTTAAAAGACTTTCTCTGGCTCTGTTGTGAGAAATGAAGTGAGGCTGGAG